TTTGATGTGTATCACATCTGAAAATCCAAGTTTGTTTTCTCTTGCTTATGGAACATAAATAGGAAAATACCAGAGGAAATGCTGTTTTGCTATTGTTGCCAGACCAATCACAAGAAAGCATTATTTGTAGCAGTTAAGATTCAAAAATGAGCAGAGAGCTGGGCACAGTGGTTCACACCTATAATCCCAGCACTTTGGGAGGCTGAGGCAGGTGAAGTCAGGTGTTTCAGACGCCAACGTGGCGAAACCACATCTCTACTAAAAATACAAAAATCAGCTGGGTGTGGTGGCAGGTGCTTGTAATCCCAGCTACTTGGGAGGCTGAGGCAGGAGAATCGCTTGAACCCAGGAGGCGGAGGTTGCAGTGAGCCAAGGTTGCACCATTGCACTCCAGCCTGGGCAACAAGAGCAAAACTCCGTCTCAAAAAAAAAAAAGCGGAATGAGGAAGAGCAGGCAGTAAGTGATATGATACAACTGATTTCCAGTCTCCATTCATTGTATGACCTTGATTTGCACCAAGTCAATAAAATATTAACATTTTATTGGGGTTGAAAATTATGAAATAATTATAAAACCTTTCTGAAAGACTAAGAACAAGCTACTAGAAAATATATCGTCTGTAATGGAAGCTTCAAATATTTTGACTGAATTAATGTTTAAAATATTTTTCGGGTATTTTTCATCCTGACAGAGACTTTACAGGCCCCTCAAATGGGCCCGGGGGGGAGCTCCAGGGCGTACATTTCAAGAAGGCAGACATTTAATGCCTAAATTCAAAGCATCAAACCCTCTACCTTTTCATTTGCAATGGCAACACGAAAACCACGTAACCTCTAGGACATATGCCCAGTAGAAAACTTCTTTCAAACAGCCACACGGAAATGTTCAGATAGAAAGTTGTCATGCATTATAAGAGCAAAGAAGAGAATTCACTATGTATCTTGGAGGCATCTGTGACTCCTCCAGATTTTCATGGCACTTTGGGTTTAATAGCACAGATCAAGCCCCTTCTATCTAACATGCCCATAATAGTAGCCTGAGACATTGTCGCAAACCACGATAATGTCCTAAAGATTAAAAATTCCAAAATTGAGTATTCAGATAAGAGTTATGCAGGTTTAGAACACTACTGGACTCTTCTTTGCCTTCATTAGCTCATAAACAGTAAAAGGCCAATACAATAGAAGCAATAGAGACAACCATTATTAGTTCATGGATAATAGGAAATAATCTAATATAAAAGATTTAGTATAATATTGAAAGAAAAGTAAAAAACTATCTTTTACACTAGAATATGGGCATGTTCTTTTTTGGAGAAATTCTAGTATAATAAAATCACCATGTACTTGTCTAACATGCCATTTCTGTACAGAGAAATCTGTCTAGCCACTGAACACCAGTAATGCTAGAAAACAATTTAAACTTTATTTATTATTCTTGGTTGAATTTAAGGCAAATTAGTGACAACAACTGAAGGCAGATCAGGAGACAGGGACAATCTATAGGGTAACTGAGCTCTGGATAACTGCCCTAAAGGCGTCCCCATCCCTGCAGCCTAGGGGCCCCACTTGTTAGAAGCTATACCTGCGTGAGGGACAGGAATCAAAGTGAGGGACTTCCCACCTGCCGTAACAAAACACCACAGGCTTGGTGGCTTAAATAAAAATTAATTTTCTTACAGATGTGCTGGCAAGAAGCCTAAGGTCAAGGTCCTGAAAAATGTGGTTCCTATGAGGCCCCTCTTCCTGGCTTGCAGATGGCTGCCTTCCTGCTGTGATCCCAGGACTTTTTCTCTATGTGCAGAAAGAGAGCTCTGGGGTCTCACTTCCACGCCCTATGACCTCATGACCTCATTTAACCTTAATTACCTCCTTAAAGGCCATATCTCCAAATACAGTCACACTGGGGTTACAGCTTTACTCGATGAATCCAGGGGAGACAAAATTCAGTCCATGACAAGGACTGAGCTGGATGAGCAGGAGGATTTGTAAAGCCTCAGAGGGCACTGTCCTCAGGAAGTAAACTAGGAGAACACCTAAATTTACCCTTCTTCATTATTCAAGAAGAGATACAAAGGAAGGAAAATGTCTCCTCTGGGAACGCCTCATCACAGCCAACAGTCACCGGTGTGTAGGGCTGACATCCACATTGTGTGTGAGTGTGGGTGCAAAAGCTTAAGGAGCAGAAAAGGGAGAGGCAGGGAATCCAAGGTGAAAACTGATTTTGAAGTGGTCTGTGGTTTGTAGTGTCGCAAGAAACAAATTGATGCTACAGGGGGAAAAAAAATCTTCTCTGTAGGACTATACTTGAAATTTTTAAAAAACCTCCGAAAAGAAAGTTCAGAGGAATGTGAGCTTTAAATAAAAAATGACTGACCACATTAGGAAACTAGTCACCATAAACTTGTTTCAGCAAAAACAACAAGCAACAAACTATAAATTCAGATCCACAAAAAATATTGAAATTACCACACACAGAATGTAAAATAAGTACTTTTAATATGTTTAAAGAAAAGAAAAAGAGGGAATAACGGAACTATCCCAGGCAACCCAGCAAAGTTTAAGAAAGAACCAAACAACTCTTCTGAAAATCAAAAAATATATAACTGTAATTAACAACTTAATAGATGGGCAAAATAGGTTAGAGATAGAGTGAAGACAGAATTAATGAAATAGATTTAAAGAAATTATCCAGAATTCAACACCTAGAGACAGAGAGATGGGAAATATGAAACAGGGATTAAGAGATACGGAGAGGACGGTGAGATCATAAAACGGAAGTGTAATCTGATTTCCTGAAGGAGAGAACAGAGAGAATGAGGGAGATACAATATTCAAAGAGGCAGTAGCTGAGAATTTTTCAGAATTTATGAAAAGTACCAATTCTCAGATTCAGGAATCTCAATGAATCCCAACAGGACAATGAAAAGAAATACGCAGCTAAACATACTGTAGTATGGCCACATTTGACTGTAGAACACTAAAGAAAAAGATCTTAAATATGACTTGGGAAAGAAGGCAGATTAGCTACAAATACTACAAATACTGATCAGACTGACAACTGTCATTTCAGAAGCAGCAATGGAAGCAAGAAGACAGTAGAATATTATTAAATACTGAGAAAACAGCTGTCAATCTATAATCGTATACCTAGCTAACTTTCAAGGATAATAACATAGTAAACTTCTAGGTAAATCGACATAAACACTGACTGTACAAAATAACTACTTTTGTAGTTAAACGGAGATAGAACTAGAATTCCAGGCAACAATTTGTAAGTTGAAGAGATAAATCAGACTTTGTACAAAAATCTCTAATGTACAGGAAGAGAGTAAAGATGTTTACTTTAGATGTTTACTTTAGATGCTGTTAACTATGCAAGTTAAATTTCCTACTAAGCACTTCATTAAAAGTTAATTTTTACATATAAATAAAATACATACCAAAAGTGATTTGGAAACTGGGAAATGTTTAACTTTGAAAGTAGAAGAAAAGTAGATGGAAAAACAAAACAAAAACTCAAGCTGAAAGAAAGCAAGAAACAGAAAAGGTGGGACAAAAAGCACAAAATAAGATGATATAAATAAATATCAATATATCAGTAATTCTGACAAATGTAAATGGATTGAACTCCTTAGTTGACAAATGATCAGAAAGAAAGAAAAACATCCAGTCACACTTTTTTTTGTTTTTTAAGAAAGAGTCTTGCTCTGTCACCCAGGCTGGAGTGCAGTGGCGTAATCTTGGCTCACTGCAACCTCTGCCTCCTGGGCTCAAGCGATTCTCCTGCCTCAGCCTCTTGGGTAGCTAGGACTACAGGTGCACGCCACCATGCCCAGCTAATTTTTATATTTTTAGTAGAGATGGGATTTCACCATGTCGGCCAGGATGGTCTCGATCTCCTGACCTCATGATCTGCCCACCTCGCCCTCCCAAAGTGCTGGGACTACGGGCATGAGCTACCGCCCTGGCCCCAGTCACACAGTTTTTAAGGGGCATATCTAAAACATAACAGCAAGGTTTAACAGAAGGATTAAAAAAAAGATATATCCTATAAATCTAGCTAGCTGGCATAATCTATATAAATATAATATATATTTTATGTATTTTTATATGTCTATATTTATAATTATAACAAGACTTCAAAATATATAAAAATATATAAAACTAAAATTGACAAAATTATAGGGAGAAATTGGTAAGTTCATTAGAATAGAAAATTTCAACACATCTCAGAGTCTGAGAGATCAAGTAGAAGACAAAAGAATAGTAAAATGGAAAAAAATTGAACTACATAATTAACAACTTTGGTCTAACAGACATCCAACAACTGAAAAACAAGCATACTTTTCAAGCAATCATGAAACATTTACAAAAACAAGTTATAATCTAGGTCATAAAGCAAATCTCAACAAATATTAACAGATCAGTCTTACCTGTGCCTATTTTCTGTCCACAATTCAAATTCAATTAAAACAGAAATCAATAAACATAAAATGCAAAAATATACATGCTAGGAAATGGGAAAAAAAGCCTCATACATATGTTAGTCCAGAAAGAAATCATAATTAAAAATACACAGAACTTAAATCTTTCTATGGTGCTTTAAAAATATAAAACATTATTTCATTTGATCCTTACAGTAATCCGATGAGCAACGTAGAACCCATAGTATCTCTGCTCAACAGCATAAACACAGCAGAAATGTTACAAACTGGCTGGGCACAGTGGCTCATGCCTGTAATCTCAGCACTTTGGGAGGCTGAGGCGGGTGGATTTAAAAGTGATTTGGCAACTGGGAAACAGAAGCAGAAGTGTTCACCACTAAAAATATCAAAAGGAAGGTAAATAAACCAACTCTTATAGAAGCTATGCTGAATAGTTAAAAATGTTACAAGGAAATAACTGAGTATCTTAATGTCTAAAGCTCAAAAAGCCCATCAATTCATTTTGGTTTAGGAAGTCCCTTAGGTATTTATGGTATATGTACAAACTTACAAGGTAAAGTATTATTCACATGAGATGAACACAAACTATCAGAAATCTTTGCTATACAAGCTGGGTAGCCACAGTTAAGAATATATTCCCCTCACACATACAATCTTAATTTCTTGGTTACAGCATTCGTTCAATGATGTGTTGGCAATTAATCGCATTCCAAAAAGTGTCCATGGTACAAAGGGAATTTTCATTTAAGGCTCCCCTCCCTTTTCATGTGTGGGATATTTTTGGAAGTATTTTTTTTTCCATCCACTGAAAGAGAATTAAGAAAATTCCAACATGCCTTGGTGTCAGCAAGTGTGCTTTTTAGTCCAGGTACCAGCAAATGATTGATGAGCCTGTCAAGCCTACAGTAGCGGATAGAGAAAGTTGGCAGAAGTTCAGTGTTACTGAAAAAAAATCTCAAATACTTATTTCATCTCCTCTATTAAGTTTAATCACATTTTCAACATGCAGCCAAGAATGAAGCTTTGACAGTAAGCCATACATTTACACAGGCAGGCATTGTCAATTTTCTGCAGTCGCCACACTGAGATAACACAAGAGAGCTGGATATTTTCTTTCGTGTGCCTTTCTTTACTAAAGAGCAATAAAAAATATGTGAAAGATTTATCCATACCTCAAATTCGTTTACCATAAATCTCTTGAAATTATTGCATTTACTTTTGCTTGGTTTATGGCAAATAAAAAATCAACTTAGTTCTTCAGTTAGATTTTTTTTTTTTTTTTTTTTTTTTGAGACAGAGTCTCACTCTGTCACCCAAGCTGGAGTGCAGCGGTGCCATCTCAGCTCACTGCAACCTCTGCCTCCTGGGCTCAAGCGATTCTCCTGCCTCAGCCTCTTGGGTAGCTAGGACTACAGGTGCACGCCACCATGCCCAGCTAATTTTTATATTTTTAGTAGAGATGGGATTTCACCATGTCGGCCAGGATGGTCTCGATCTCCTGACCTCATGATCTGCCCACCTCGCCCTCCCAAAGTGCTGGGACTACGGGCATGAGCTACCGCCCTGGCCCCAGTCACACAGTTTTTAAGGGGCATATCTAAAACATAACAGCAAGGTTTAACAGAAGGATTAAAAAAAAGATATATCCTATAAATCTAGCTAGCTGGCATAATCTATATAAATATAATATATATTTTATGTATTTTTATATGTCTATATTTATAATTATAACAAGACTTCAAAATATATAAAAATATATAAAACTAAAATTGACAAAATTATAGGGAGAAATTGGTAAGTTCACTAGAATAGAAAATTTCAACACATCTCAGAGTCTGAGAGATCAAGTAGAAGACAAAAGAATAGTAAAATGGAAAAAAATTGAACTACATAATTAACAACTTTGGTCTAACAGACATCCAACAACTGAAAAACAAGCATACTTTTCAAGCAATCATGAAACATTTACAAAAACAAGTTATAATCTAGGTCATAAAGCAAATCTCAACAAATATTAACAGATCAGTCTTACCTGTACCTATTTTCTGTCCACAATTCAAATTCAATTAAAACAGAAATCAATAAACATAAAATGCAAAAATATACATGCTAGGAAATGGGAAAAAAAGCCTCATACATATGTTAGTCCAGAAAGAAATCATAATTAAAAATACACAGAACTTAAATCTTTCTATGGTGCTTTAAAAATATAAAACATTATTTCATTTGATCCTTACAGTAATCCGATGAGCAACGTAGAACCCATAGTATCTCTGCTCAACAGCATAAACACAGCAGAAATGTTACAAACTGGCTGGGCACAGTGGCTCATGCCTGTAATCTCAGCACTTTGGGAGGCTGAGATGGGCAGATCACTTGAGATTAAGAGTTCAAGACCAGCCTGGCCAACATGGTGAAAACCCTTCTCTACTAAAAATATAAAAATTAGCTGGACATGGTGGTACATGCCTGTAATATCAGCTACTCAGGAGGCCGAGGAACAAGAATTGTTTGAACCCAGGAGGCAAAGTTTGCAGTGAG